ACATTAGACTGAAATATATTCTTTATTTCAACATTAATTTTACCAAAATTGTGGTGAATTGTCGTTCATGAGACTTACTTCGCAGAAAAAATTAATAAATGTTTTGTATATACTCAAATGTTCGTTTTCGGCACCTTATGCCAACATTGTCAAAATGACAGATTAATGTTACATAGGAACATGAAATTTTATAAAATTCGTAAATTTTAAATTGCTATAACTTTTCATTTTCTTGGTCAATTTTCACAAATCAAATTGCAGTTTATAGAAGCATTTAACAAGCTCGCGGTAAAAAAAAAAATCAGATGTAACAGACATTGCGAAGTACCCACAATTAATAAAATAAAAACTAACACCATAAAACGAATGGCACGCATAGACTAATCATTGACGGCTGTACTCGCAACTAGTATCGGATTGTCGATGCCACAGTAAAGATCAAAGTTCACCCAACGAAAATAACCCTGAATAATATTGAATTATTAATTTATAATATATAATCGGTGTTTTATTTGCTATAAATTCTAAATCCTTATAGGCCTATACATTTTAATAAATTTGAAACACTACTGTAACATTATAAAAATTAATAAATTCTAAAAAACAGTCATAAACAATTCAGTTTTCCGGAAACTACAACTACAGTTCTAATTCGGAGTTGAATTCAAGACCTTTCAATTACCGTTCGGATACTCTACCAACTGAGCAGTGAGATTTTTACAGTTAGACACGTTTTTCCCTGGTATTGCACAATACTCAATAAATATTATATTGTAATTTAATTAACACAATAAATTCAAGTTTAAAAACTCAATGTGGAATTATATATTTAAATATGCTAAAATGATACATTTTGAAAGACACTCACGTTGCTTAATGCGTACTTTCGGTTTGGACAATTGGTTAGTATGGCCTATAGGCTACAACAATAACTTACCAGATCCAGCCACGCACACAGCATAATATGCAGCAACAAAACATAAAGCCAGTGTACACTTCCACGCAATAAGTTGCATGATGACGTAACACTGTGACACACCAAAGTTATAGAAATGTCAGATTTACACACAAAAAAGAAAACTAAACCAGATGTGTAGTCCACATTTACTACCCGTCCGATAGCTTTTAGTTGCGTATCGTATGAAGCATTAGCTCGGTATGGCACCAACTAATAATACTGTTTCTTATAACAAGATTACATCTGGTAATTATTAGTGCAATTCCGATTTGATTACGATTATAATTCTAAGTACATTGATCAATAATTTCCAACTTAATACATTACTGCATTATGTATAAACGGCAATCCCTTTGAAACACCGAACAACGCAATCATGTACATATTCAGACACTAATGTTGTTTTTTGTTTGAGCAAAAGACGCTAAATTATCTATATTAAATTTTCATTGACATATATATGTTGATTACTGTACTACCGATACGCCTCAAATGTAAACAAATACAAACGATAATAAGTACTTGCCGCCAGTTGAATTGAAATAATTAGTTACCAATGATATTATTTCCTGTGCTACAATAATCATAAACGCTAATTTGACAACATAATCAGTTTAAAACATAAGTTGTACTTGCTAACTATTTTTAAATTTCGATTTCATATCTGATTTTTTGATTATTTAAAAAAATATATATTGGAATCATTAATGAAAAAAAAAATCACAATGGCAATATTAACTGCTGCAATAATAATTATGGTAACAATTTTTATTTTTATTTTATTGTGGTTTTAGTTTGCTATTATTATCCTGGTTGTTGCAATTAATCGTATGTTTTGCTGTGCTACATGTTGTTCAATGATTAGTGGTAGTGCATAGAAAGTAATACACTTTATTAGGTAAAGTGCAACTCAATGTAATGCATATTACTTTTATTGTGATAATAATTAATTGTCCTAAAATAATTTTTAAAAACTATACTCCTACGACATATGTGCATAATTTATTCTATTTACAGGAAAATATAATAATAATGATAATAATAAGAATAATAATGATAATAATAATAATATATGGTGATGATGATGATGATGATAATAATAATAATAATAATAATAATAATGATAATAATAATAATAATAATAATAATAATAATACTAATAACAATAATAACAATAATAATATTAATAATAATAATAATAATAATAATAATAATAATAATAATAATAATAATAATAATAATAATAATAATAATAATAATAATAATAATAATAATAATAATAATAATAATAATGATAATAATAATTTCGATTTCATATCTGATTTTTTAAATATTTTGTGAAATAATATATTATAATATAGATAAATATCAAAAATAAATTTAGGGACATATAATTCATGTAATTTATAAATATCAAGAATTTTAAGCTTAAAAAACAATAGTGGAGTATGGGCTCTAAAATTCGAAAAAATAATACATCTAACGATCATTTTTTTTACAAAGAAAAATACGTTCTAAATATGAATTATAGGCGTGCCTCCCCAAACCTCGATACCATACGTAAAAATAGGAAATATAAATGAATTATAAATATTATGAATTATATTTTTCTAATCTTGTCACATACGTCATCAATATGAAATTTCCAGGAAAGAAATTTGTCAAACCTAATGCCAACAAAACTAACAAACTTTCTTTTATTAAAAACATTATTAATAAAAAAATTACATTGAATAATATTATTTTTATTTTTAAACTGAAAAATCATATAGTTGGTTCTTTCTGAATTTATTGTCAATTTATTAGAATTACACCAACAGATAATGTGTTTTAATTCAATATTAATGTCTGATAAATCAAGAATGTTTCCAGAAAAAGAGTGAAATAAATTAGTATCGTAGGCAAACAGACGAAAAATAATATGATGAATTAGGAAAGTCATTAATATAAATTAAAAAGAGAGTGGGTTCCAATACAGAGCCTTGGGGAACCCCGCAAGAAATATTTAATTTATCTGAAACATTATTGTTTGATAAAATAAACTGTTTTCTATTAGAAAGATAATTAGAAAGCCATTTATATGCATTGCCTCGAACACCGCAATGATATAATTTGAAACATAAAATAGAGTAATCAATTGTATCAAAAGCTTTACTAAAATCAATAAAAATACCAACTGAAGATTTTTTTTTATTACCAATATCATAGTATTGGAGATTATTAATGAGATTAAATAAAGATAATTTTTTATTATATTTTTTACTAAAACCATATTGATGTTTATAGAACAAATCATATTTTTCACAATAAGAAATTAATCTTTCGTTAAATAATTTTTCCAAAACTTTACTTAAAACAGAAAGAATAGAAATCAGTCTATAATTACTCAGCAATTCTTGCCCTTTTTAAATAATGGGATAACACGTGCAGTTTTAAAAGCAGATGGAAATGACGATTTTTGTAATGAAATATTAAATATATGGCAAAGAGGCATGTATATAAATGGTGTAGCAATGCAAATCAATTTAGCAGGTAAATTATCATATCCCGTAGCTTTATTTTTTATAAAGAGAAAATAGTAAATTATAGACCTCATTTGGTGTAATAGGTTCTAAGAAAAACGAGTTACTACACGGTTGACTAAGAAAGGAGGATAAATTAATTGATTCATCGTCGGGAATGTTTTTAGCTAACTCAGGACCAATATTAGTAAAAAAAAAAAAAAATGATTAAACTCGTTAACTATTAGCATTAGCATCCGTAGCATCCGTAATTGTAATATCACCATATGATTTGGTTACTGTAATTGCATCTGCTAATGTATTTGTAAATGTTTTCCTTCCAAGTAAATTATTTAGTATCTGCCATGTTTTCATAGAATTATTTTATTTTTGAATAATAAATCATTATAAAAAGTCTTTTTTGCCACCTTAAGGAAGTTAGTTAAAATATTTCTATATTTTTATAATCGGAAAATAAAGTTGGTTCGATGTTTCTTAGTAGAAGGACTTGGTCTTAAAACATCAATGTTAAAATTCCCTAATAGAATATACTCAAACTTATCACATTTAATTTTGGATAATAAGTCTAATAAACTGTTATAAAATTCAATAATATTCAAGTCACACTTTCTATAAATAACCCCTATAATATAAGTATTTGTTCCATCACACACCTCCATCCAAAGAGATTCAGAGTGAACTACAGAATAGTTCAGTAATTTATAGTTTATAGATGCATGTGTATGCAGCTACACTCCCATTCCTACCGAATCCTCTACATTTGTATTCATTATGAATACAAATCTAGATTAAAAACGTTCGGATTTTTCACGTCCCATATTTCAGGAACACCAATGACTTTTAACTCTCCAATAATATCAAGAACAGAGTCAAGCATGTCTCAATTTTTATTCATAGAACGAATATTAACGTTCAGGACAGAGAAAGAAATTAATTTAGAATATTTATTTGAGAATTCTGAAGGTGTGATGTGGGTTTGAAGGCAGTCAATGTGCGTATCAACAAAATATTCGTAATCGCTATCCATTAATTATATATATATATATATATATATATATATATATATATATATATGAAGAACTACTACACGTATGGCATAATTTTTTCACATATAAACATATTAAATGATAAGATTTAAACAAAAACATATATATAAATATAAATATGCACGAAATAATAAACAACATGTAAGAGTATTCAAACGTTTTATAAATATATTTATTAATGGGTAAAAACAAACAATACCATATTAACAAACATGTTTTTCTTATTAAAAGTATGAGGGAAATATTTTTTCCATTTTTTCTTATATGAAAGCTAATAACGTTTATGTTTTATTAATGAAATTATAGCATATCACTACACTAGATTGACTGAATGGCACTTGTGTCAGCTGGCGAAAAAAGGTGTTTAATCTGTTCATTCGAGGTAACTGTGTGAACAACTCAGTCCCTATCAACAAACCGTAGTTTATCATAATGTAGCCAGCATTTTATTTTTGATGACCTTAGTTTCTTCATGGTAGAGTCATTTTTTCTTCTTGATTAGATTTTCTGCGTCAAGTTTTCGTTAATGAATACATTAGTTCCCTTTATTTTGGGTCGGGCTCTATGTGCTGCTTTCCTGATAGCTTCCTTAGTACTACAGAAAATGTACAATAATTGGTCTTAGCTTACTATTTTTTGCCTTGATTCCAATCTTGTGAGCCCGCTGTATGTCGTCCTCATGCACATTAATCCCAGTTTAGTGCTAATAAATTAGTGGATGTACTTTTCCACTGATCCTTCACTCTCTTCTTCATTCTCAGAAATGTTTATAAACCGCAGGTTGTTCCTTCGTTGCCGAACCTCTAAGTTGTCAGTTTGGTTCTTTATACTATCCAAATTCAGGTCTTGTTTTATGTCGTCTTTGACATCGTTGATTTTTGCTTCATAATAATCGGAATTTTCCTGATTGTCCGATTTCAAAACACGGATTCCTTTGATCTGATCCCGTTCTTTAACAATACAAGTTGCTATAGGGAATATGGCCACATCATAGTTACCAAAAGGAAAAACAAATATACAATTTTTGCAATCATTGATGTTTAACGGGCTTTTGCAACGGAACATGAACATTGAGTTGTGAACAAAATTTCAATCGAAAATAAAAAAAAAATATCATTCCCGGCCGTGCATCTTGAATTGGTTTACGACTGGTGTAAAAATAGCCACGAAGTTATTTTCAATCCGGAAAAGGTACTAAACTGTACACCACATTAGTAATGTAGAAAGTGTGATATATGATTTGATGTAGACCTAGGTTTACCATTACTTTCTTTAGCTTGTGTTCTTACTATTATTATTATTATTGTTATTATTATTATTATTATTATTATTTATTTATTTGTTTTTCTTTAAATTTTTTATACCAATTTATTTTATTATTGTGCTGGCTGGTTTAGACGAGTTATAGAAAAATATTATCATAGCCGACTTTTTATGCTTCAGCATTAGACTGGCTGGCGCCCCCTCCACTAGCTAGGTCTACTGCTCTCAGTTTCTGTGTGGTTATTTTCTTTTCGGATTAATTGTCAATAGTTGATGCATCCGACAAAGACCATATATACGCTATCATTCTTGAGACAATGCGATTTAGCCAGGC